GCTACGTCCTGGGAAGTTGAATTATGCCGCGAGGAGAGCGTATTGCTACTGGAAACCTAGTTAATGTAAGAAGGATGATATTGCTCTTTTTTTTTTGAATAATATTTTTCATCATACATATTTCTTTTTCTCTGCCGATTTTGTCGATTTTATCGGGAAATTTACAAATGTTGATAACGATCTTGATAACGATATCTAAATCATTTATCGGTTTTTTTTCTTTTGTTTGTTTTATAAATTGAATATACGATGAATCGTTATCAAATAATTCTGCGGTTAGGATATAATAGCGGAGGATCGTAAAGGATGACAAAGAGTTCATTCCGTGCATTGCTTCGCGCTGACGCCATCATCCTCCATAACTAGTAGAATTTTCTCAAAAATATTAGCTCATGAATTCCGAATTTACGAGTTACGATATCTCTCGATGTCAACCGATTTATATTAATTAAGAATTATGATTTTTATGTAATTAAAATTCTGCATTAAAAATTACTTTTTTTTTTTTTGTTAAAGAAAGAAAGAACGGAAGAAAACAAATGTATTTACGAAATATTAGGAAAACGAACGATAAAGAATATTGGAATTTTATTTTATCTTTTTAAAAATATATCGCATCATAATTCCATACGTTAAGTTCTGTATTGAAAATGTAGCGTGATGCAGTTATTTTCTATAAAATCCTTTCCTTTATATTAAAAATAAAAATGTATCTATTTATATGCGTCATCGGAAAAATAAATAAGAAATTAAAAGAAATAATACTACCACTAGATAAAATCTTGCATTCGTCAAAGAGCTCAGTCGAAGATTTTTATCAAAGGAGATTAAAACGGTATTTTCCGCGTGTAACTATATAAATTTAACTTTCTTTACGTGTGAACATCAACACGCTATCAGATACCGTAACTTTTCGGTCCGGTTAACGAATACAACGAGCAACAGCATCCGAGAAAAGAATTATTCTCAAGACAATCTCTTGTTATCCCTCTTAATTATCTAATAATTTTTATATTCGTTCGTCCTTTAATCGACGAATAACAAAAATTTATTTGCACATTTTGCCACTCAGTTAATCATCGTTTTATATTTTGTTATTTTAATTAAAATATCTAAGATAAATAATGTACGTAGAAATAAAATATATATCTGATTAATTTTTTGAAATTTTATATAGATATTTCCTAATCGATTGATCATGATAAAAATTTCATTATCTGGAAACGGTACTTAACATCATTTTTTATATTCCTAAACAATTTACATGTTACCTCATTCATATGACTCACAACCAGATAAAACCTTATCGAGTATTCTTTTCCTTCTTATTGTTATCGCAAATAGTTGTTTATATATAGACTGTCAATCAATATGAATTTCAATTTACAACGTTAAATTTTTCTTATTTTCCTACCGTTATTTATACTCGTAAATAAATACTTAAACTCGAAATTATAATGTTTCAATTATCAAAAATCAAAATTAATGATAATATCGAGCTAATTACTTGCATGAAATTTTAGCAAAGTAAGCTTAGATTAAAGAATCTGATCCATTGAACAGGTTTCATATCGATAAATGATAGTGATAAAGTAATTGTATCTGATAAACGAGAAACGAAGGATAAAAGAGAAAATAAAAAAGGATTTCACTTGATACAACATACAACGTGACAGAAAATTATTAACGCGCAAATTTCTATACAATGATTAAAAACAAAATGATATAATTACTTATTTCTCCACTCGTTGGATATTTCTCCATTCGTTTTTGTATTTAAGTATTGGAAATTAGCATGATCGACAAAGATAAGATAAGAACTCGTAAGAATTACAATTTCCATAAAAAAGTTTAAATCTACAACGAATCAACATTCTAATGTGAATATTTAATTCGTAAAAATTTAAAAAATTAGAATGTATTAAAATATAGGATCGTATGTAAGAATTTTATTTTTTTTTTTCACCAAGATTCACCCCTTTTCCGGTTGTGTCTATATACCACTATTGCGGGCCATCCTGTATTTTCTTCTCGGTTCCATGCATATGTGCATGACCACGGTTTCCGCAACGATGAGAAAAAGCACTTGGTGGATGAGTCAGCTGCTTCTTTCGCAACTTTCTAACGTCATTTACACGCTCACGAATCCGTGTCCGATCGTTTGCATGCAACTCGTCGTCCAACATCGATTAAAACCAAAACGAGCTCAATTGTTTCTAATAATACACACATATAATATTAGTTGTGTTTAACCAATATATCATAGATAACGTATTCCAAAGTGTTTTTATCAAAATTTTATCAAATTTTGAAAATCGAGTATATATTCGTGAATAATGTTTAAAAAGAATCAATTCTTTTCTTAATATTATAAATCTTATTGAACCGTTATTGTAATTCATCGAAGTTTCATTTCAATCTTTACTCTAAATATAAATATGGTTATGCCTGGTTAAAAAACTTTATCAGTTCTAAATTGTTAGCGAGCTATTTCTCATCGCATCAATCACTTTTTATACGACGGGATTTTGTTGAAATTAAAATATGTTCTTTCAGTTCCCGCGAAAATAGCAAGAGTTTAATTCATCATTTTCCTTGTTACGAAATTGTTTAAAAAAGAGCTTACAGAGTTTCAAGGTAATTTGGTAATTTTTGCTCAATTCCACGAAAATTATCTTCACAGAAGAAGTTTCATCTCGTTAATTAGTCATAATTTTATTTTTCTCATAAGTTGTTGTAATTAAAATTAATTTGTTCTTACTCACAAATTTTTATCATCAACGTTTTGCCAACGTTTTTTTCATTCTTGTAAAGTCTTGATAAAAATGTCAAATATTGTAAATTTATTTTAAAAATACATGTATATTTTAATAGATCGTATATACTCTAAAATGATAAAAATAATAAAAATTATAAAGCATTGTATTGGAAATGAAAAATATTTGATAACTGATTTCAATCTTTCAATATTTATGAATTCTACTGAAATATTTTTCTCATTATTTTTTCCTTCCATCGCGTGGCATATGAGAAAAATAGAAGAATTGTTTAATGCCTTGTCACGTTTTGAGAAAATTATATTGCCACGGATAAAAATTATCTTTTCTGTTGTTCATATTACGTTTCTTTAATCGTAAAAGAAAAAAAAAAATGTTAATTTGTTTGTGTTCGATAGTGTTAAAAACTCGAACTCGTTTTTGATTTATTGTTTTTAAAAGCAATTAATTTTTACTCAAAATAGAATATACAACTTTTGACAAATAAAAGATTAGTTATGTTTTCAGTGTTTTTTCAAAACCTACTAAAAAATTATTTTCCCACATTTAATTATTTATACACAATTTTTCAAAAATAAATAAGAACAAAGTTTTGAACGAAATATATTGATGAAATGTCAAAAATTAGCAATTCACTATTCGTAAACTGCTGCTGATTTAATTAAGCCAATTCACCTTCGGATTAACGCTTCATAATTAGATTTGCGACTCTAAGATTTCAGTTATATCTTAAGGATTCGCGTAAATTTCATTTCTTGAAAAATTAGAAGGTCGCTAAAATTCTCAATTATTTTTATCGTGCTGTTTTGTCGGCTATAGAAATTATATAGTTTCTACTTAAGATGTAAACTTTAATGAACGAAATTAAAATAGTATTTAAAAAATAGCTAAAAAATTTCTTGATATATTTTCAATTTTTGTAAATATCTTTGATTGCATTTTACAAATTAAACAAACAAACAATCGCAATTCCAATACATTTTTAATACTCCAATACATTTTTAAATACTTTTCAAAATATATATATATAAAAAAAAAAATTAAATTACTCTTTATAAAACATTTCGAAACATGTTCAGACACGTTAAATTCTTCGTGACAGATTAATTAACAAATTTTACTTCCCACTAATAGCTGCAACAGTAAATACCGAAACGTTTCTTTTTATATTTCGTGCCAAGATATTAATTAAGTAAACGAGAAACATTAGATGGAACTACTCTGGAATCGAAATTCGTCTTTAGAAGTAGTACAAACCGAATAAAAGATTTTTTATATTTTCTTTTCCTCTCGTACATGGCACTCGAGCATGGCAAGTCGAGTTTCATCAAAGAAATTGCTACTTTGATAAAGCTTCGTTTTTCACGTTTTCCTAACGCGCCATTCAAGGCATAAACTTGAATTAATCCAATTACGCTAATTTGACGACTCTCTTCATACGGTACTTTTCAATAAGGAAGTTCTTTGCCTTTTAGACGCTGCTTTTTCACAGTTCTTTAAGTCTTAAAAATTGGGTATTATTTCGCGATATAATCCGCCGCTGATTGTATCTTACTTTATTGCCAATAAATGAAAAAAAAAAAATTCTGGGATTTATCATCATAAAAGTAATTTTTGCAAATATAAATATTAGTAAAATTTCTTCGACCATTTTAATATAATGCCGAATGTTTCGCGTATTTAAATGAATCCTATTGATCATAAAGACGATGCGCAAATAGATGTTCGAACGAACGAGTCCATGTTGTAACGGTTTATAGTAACTTGTCACGGCCTGTATTGTACTTTCTATTGACCGACTAGACCCTGCTCGAAACATCCTTGAATACGCCAGGACCACTTACAACCGCTTCCACTTCTTTTTCCACGATACTCGAGGTTAACTTTGTGGTTAACTGCTCTCGCAGTTTCTACCTTGTTCCTCGACACTTTCGACCAAGGAACCCATCTTTACATTCTACCATCTTTGCATCAGCAGCCGAGTTCGATGACTCTTTACCTGAATCTGTGGTTTCTCGTTTAACGAAATCCCAAAAATTGCTCATTCCCGTTTCATTGATCTAATATTCGAATCGTTTGTCGTCTCGCAACGATGTCACAATTGATGGGAATATCGATTGGCAACGAACATAATTCCACATAATTAAATATACAGCAAACTTAAACGAAAACAAAAACAAAAGGCCAAGAGATCGAAGAAAACTAATTTTTGTTTTTACTTACTACGAGCAGATCCGAACGTCGTGTTGATCAAGGCGGAAACAACGAGACCGCATTATTCTTCCTCTTTCTCTCGCCGATTCTGCTGCCCTCTCTTCAACGCCACGAGAGAGTAGTCTTTCGAACTCTTGCCGGTCACGCTTGTCCACGCGTTCTATATCTTCCTTCTTTCTCCCGAACCTTTCACTCTTCCCTCCTTCTTACCCTGTCAGCTTGTCTCTGTTCATCTCACTGTCTCTTCCCTTCGATCACAGGGTTTGCAGCACTACACGCGCGGACCACAACACACGGTACCCATGGCGACGCGTTCTCTCACCATTTACGCAGTTTGTCTTCCAATGTCCTTCCGTCTCGATCTATCTAAATTTCTTCATTCTTTTAATTCATTTGCATCCACGAGTTTATTGCCGAATCGCGACAACTCATACTTCATAGTTTCGTACGAGTTTTAGAAAATAAATCTCATTAAGAATATTAGTTACAACATTTTTACAATGATTAAAACGAGTAAACAATTCTGCAATAATAATAAAAATAAAAATAAATTATTTCAACATAATATATAAGACAAAGATTGGAAATTATTTATCATTTAACTCGCTGTAAATCAAACTGTGAAGAAACTACGAATAATAATAATTATAAGTTATATAACTATTATTAAACAGCTTTAATTGAAAAGAATTCCAGGTATTGATGTATAAAAACTAAACTATCTTGAACAATGGGATTATTCATCGATAGAAATCTTTTCGTAATTTACTTATCTATTTTTTATAGAAAGTAATATTTTGATTACAAAATTATCTTTAACGAGTGATTTAATTTAATTGATTCATAGTAAAAAAATTTTTTTAAAAATTCTTCTTTCAATGATAAAATTATTTTTATTAACGATTCTAAAATCATGCTATTATTCGATAGATTACCAATTTATTACAGAACAAATGTCCAATAAATATCAAAAAAAAAAAAAATAAATAGATACGTCTATCAGTATATCATAATCGATTGACATTATCAATAAAATAATGAATTTAATATTAATTGAAATTGATAAATCATATTCAATTCAATCTTTCTTCTAAATTGATACAACAATTTAAACACAAAAAAGGAAAATATGAATTTTCACATTTTTACACTTCAATACCATTTGTCTAAACGTATATTTCCCTCGATAATTACAAACTACAACAAATAATAAATACTCAACGAAGCATTCTATTTCGAAGAAATACTTAATGCTATCTATCCATTAACCGTAACTGTTTATTACACATCAATTAGCCAAGGTTATATATATCGATTTATCGAATTCTTTCCAACGTATCAGAAAAAAAAAAATCGTACACAAGATGCACCATTATTCGATCAAACGTTTCATTCTCAACGAACGCGCTTACGATTATTATTAACCACGCCCATTATAATTATACGTACGTTCTTTGTAAAAGTACTGTTTTCAAAACGGCATTTTTTTTTCTCCTCCCTGTATATAATTAGTCAGCGATAATCGCGTAAGCGTGTCGAGAAGGAAAGTTCTTCTTTCGAGGAGACTTGTTGCACCGCGGCCCATTTAAATCCGCAAATTTCTTACTCAGCTAACCGCAACGTTAACCCAAGGTAAACTGTTCTTTCGTCGTCGGTACACGCATGTCCATTGAACGAGATCGTCGTAAAAAGTTATTATTATATATCGCGAAATATTCGACGAGCAAATTTGACGGACAAGCGGCTTAATTATCGAAGTTTGTCGCAATCGACGGTTGAATTGGACGGAATTGCATCGACTGATTGTCAGTCGTATATATTCGACCGAGTTAGTCGAGCGTTGGATTTCAGGCTAACAAGTTACCTATAGAGAGAGGTCTCGATTTTCCTTGACGAGGAAAATAGCGACTAACAGCGCGAAAAACCATTAACGCGAAAAAGGGAGAAGAAGAAGATTCAGAAAATTGTTATAATAATTGCTAACGTATATATATATATATACGTTATATAAAATATATACCGTAATACAATATATTATTTTGCATTATTATATTTTATTTTATATACAACTGTGTTAAAATAATTCACTGTTATATTATTTTAAAACTTGTATGTAACGATTATATTATATTGTGTATATTACTATTGAGTATTGAGAATATTTAGTAAATACATATAATTATTATAATTGGTATAATAATGTACACAAAATGTCTTTTTCATTATATACTATAGTAATATATTGAATTATATTACGTATTACAATATTAGAAATTTATTTGTTATACAGTAAGAAAAGTAACGATTAGATTATATAAAAAAATAATAATTACACATAAATTACTTATTTCCGCAAACGTAATAGAAAGTTTTTGTTTTCTCTTACGGGTTAATCGTTTTCCGATATACGTTATACACGACAAGAAATTAAAATTGGATAAATATATTTTCAGAATCTCTTTAAAATTAACTAAATAAAATAATTAAATAACAATGCTGAAATAATTAGGATATACTATTGTGAAATATTTTTAAAACATAACACTTGTCAATCATGACAAGCAATTCTGAAATAATAAGAAAAGTAATTAAAATTTCGTAAGACAAGAAACAATACGATGTGGGAAATCGAGAAATCGAAAAGCGACTGTCGAAAAAACGCGTTCGCGGTTTTGTTGCACAATTTCTTTTCACAACTTCAGGAACCTTTATAAAAACAGGGAATGCTAACCTTCGAACGTTTGTGATCGCTGGATGCAAACGAATTAACGACTTGTTGCCTTTTGTCTCTTCGACGCGAGAAATATCACTTTGATTGTCTGTCACGTATACACGTTAATATCGTGATATATTTCGAGTTGTCGAAAATTTTCAAACACAGATCCGAACCACGAACTTTTATTATTTCCAACAAAGCGCACTATACAACGCTCGGCGCGAGACTGACTATGCGAGTCGTGCACGTATACTTGGTGTTTCGGAGCGTCTGACCGTCTACCAATCAGTGGCACGGATTCTTGCGTCGGTATGCGTCCGCGCATGCGCAACAGCGCGTCGAACAAACGCTTGCCGATCGCAAACTTGTGATAGCAGTTACGGATAATAGTGCTTTCTGAATCGTATTGGGATTAAAAAGTTGGAATTAGATTTTAAAATTTTGAATGAAGAAAGAAAATGTAAAAAGCGAATTGATAATTTTACTTATATTCGAAGTATCTTATTTAAATATGTATAAAATTGTTATTGATAGTAAACATTTATTTAGGAGAAAGTTTAGTTTCCTTTTTAATCTCTTGCTTTATAATGTCACGTTACAGTCTTTGACACGGATTTAATAATTTCATTTTACGGATTAGATACAGGCTGTAACAAAAGTTTAATTTCGATTCTAATATTTTATTAGCTCCAATTTTTCATTTTTACAGATTAAATTAAATTAAACGAATTATAGATGATAATTACGATTATTATGATACATGTTAATACGATACAGCAATGAACAAAAATACGTTCATTTAAATAATTATCTTAAAAAGACGGTTACAATACAAGTTACAAGATTAAAGAATAAAGATGACTTGTATACGAATTTTTTGAGGGATTGCTATTTACCCGCCTTTTCTTTTTATTACTTCGTATCATTTCTCTATATTAATGACAATAAAAAAGTAACTACACGCGGCAAATTAAATGAAGAAATAAGGAATATTAAACGATAACAATTAAATAATAAAATTGAATGAAAATGATTTTGAAATTTCGTTTCTTCACAATATGTATATTTTTATATTCTTCTTTAACTACATATTTTTATCGCCTACTTTTGAAATATATATTGCAATCCTATTATGAATAGAATTAATAGTGGAAATAAGAAAGAGGAAAAGAAAAATTATTCTTTTATTTTCTGGTAAATGTAAATGATTTAAAACAATACACATATCGTGTTAAATAAAAACTTTTCATACGATTTTATTGCAACATAAATTTATATTTATCTTATCTTTTAAAATCACACGAAATTGTCAAGATAAATGTACGTTCGAGTTTTCGATAAATCAAATTGAATCAAATTGATGAGATTTTATTTGATTAAAGGGATTGCAATCCTCTTTCCCCGTGAGAAATCGATTCTGGACCGCAAGTTGTAAAGGAAAAGCAATTCGAGCAATTTGCAAAACAAATTAAGCTTTCACTTACGATCCTTGCTTGGTATTTGGTACTAAAAAAGGAAGATTGAAACGTTCATAGGTTTCACATGTTGTAAAAACCTATGCAAAAACAAATCTATTACAATAATAAATGCAAATTAAAAAAGATTTACGATATCGATTTGCAATTTACAATATCATGGATCTAATGAAATAATAATAAAAGGAAGGTGAAAAAGAATATGAAATTTATCATATTTTTATCTATATTCACGTCGATTCTATTAAATTAATAATTGTATAATTTAATAATTTCAATATTTTCAGATTTTTCAATATTCTTTGATAATTTATAATTTCATTTTTAATCTATCTATAATAACGATCTCGAAATAATTGTTACCTATTAATAACATTTAATTTTTCGTTTTAATTGTACACAATTTCAGAACAATTATAAATTAAAAATCGTTTAGCTTCAGGCTCGTTGCTTTTTAAAATTATCGTTCCAGATCGCCAGAAGTTAGAAAACATTTCGATAATTACCGTAGTCAAAAGCAAATTATTCAACTGAAAATTATTTGTTCCTTTATGCAAATGTTACATGCCATTGCGTAGTTTCGATTTGTATAAATATTTTTCTCTTGCGAATAATTTAATATCGATGATTAAATAAAAACGAATTTTCGAAATTACACAATTAGGCAAAAGGAATATCGTATAAAATTGTTAAATTTTATTTCATCAGGAAAAATTTTTGGGACAAAACTGCTGTATCGCTTTATCAAATATAAATAAAGAGAATAAAAAAATGACAAAATTTCAATTTTTCATCCCTGATTTTAATTTTAATTTTAAAAAAAGATTCCCAAAGATTCGTTAATTATTTAATTCTTTTTTTTTTTTCCAAACAATTTTAAGAATATTTTCATGCCAACTCGCCATGCTTACCAACAACCGTGAAGCAATTATTCCCTTTTGAAGCTTAAAAAACAATCCATCCTGCGTTAATCCATGCAAAGTGTTTGAAGTTTTTCAAACCTGCGAAACTCTGAAAGCACGTGAATACTTCCCTCACACACACGTGAATAAGAGTTTCGTTAAACGAGATGTGACTGTTTATTATAACTTATAATGTACCCTGTTACCGGGTATAACACACCACGTGAATTTTGAATGATGGAAACAAAAGCAACGTTGCTTTGTATCTTGTTTCCGTTACGCCATGTGTACCGGCGCATTTTATCACAGCCACAAATATGAATTACTTGCATAAACACCACTCTTAATGATATAATTAAAGAATGGAAATGAAAAAGATCGTCTCACGAGAGCTCACGCTTTCGGGTAATAACAATAAAATTTTCGAAGGGTTGATTTGATTTCTAAAGATCAAAAAGTTGATACACAGTTGAGAATATCTGTCTCGATTTAATTATTAAGTTACAAGTAATATATATATATATATATTTGCAAAACGGAGACAGAGCTTTTTTATTGCTAACATTATCATTGTATCGTTGTAAATTTATTTCATATTCGTTTATGTAACTCCAGTTTATTGCCACATTGCACTCCGCAATAGTAGATTTCACGCTTTCTCGTTATCTTATTGGCGTTATTAAAAAATATCAAGCGTCGATTGTAACCTCGATACCGTGATTCTCTTTTTCTTTTTTTACAAAACGTTGCAATACGCGCGAAAGAAAAGTTGTTCTTTGTTAGTTATCGAGGCGAAATATCGAAAAATTAATTTTTATTCGAATATGGTAATGTTACTTGGTGAACAAAGATCGATATTACATGTACTTCTTTTTCAATGATATTCGAAATATTGATTAAAAAGATAAATATACATACGTGCATTAGCATATACCTCTAGAACTTGTAATTTTTGTATTATTATTATTATTATTATTAAATAATTATCGAACGTTAATTTTATTCATTTTAATTCATCAGGATCGATAGGTAAAAGAATATTTATGAAATCGTATTTTAATATTATGAATGTTATTATAGCATCTAATAAGATTAAATAATATTTTTAATGTAATTCATTGGCTAATTACATACAATCTGTTTTTAAATTAAAACTTGATTACTTCATTAACATTAATCGTTCATTAGTTAAGTTTAATTTATAATAAAATGATGAGATAACAAGTAAATTGTAAGTAAATATATATAAGAATAATTAAATTGCGTGTCAGATTTAAAAGTACTATACAAAATTGTTTTTTTACTATGTACTAATATATATTAAATTAAAATATTCAAAATATCCAATTCAATGATATTAAAATTTTTTAAAAACTTCGTTCGAGCAAGTAACTTATTAACTCTCGAGACTTTAATTAATAATAAATTATTTGCTCCACTGCTTAAAATCGATGTGTAATATTAATTAAATTAGTTTTATATCAAATATCGAATTATTAGCTTGTGACGAATTTACTCAAATTTGATCAGAATTCGAATATATAAAGGAAACTTCATACTCGAGAGATTACAAAAAATTTAGTTACTCAGATTCAATTATGGATATCCGAATTAGTCATATCCGCTTTTCGAATCAAAGTTTCTTACAACGAGTATTTCATATATTCGAGTAATAACAATTCTATTTTCTATTTTTAATTTTTAAAATAGATATAACACATATTTTATATTTAATCCAATTATATATTATTTTATTTTATTTTATTTGGAAATCTCTTTCATAGGAAAAATACACGATAAAGAGGCCGTCTTGATAAATCTTGCAAATCCAATTTTCCACAAGCAGAAACTCTTCTCGCCGTTGGGAACAGAGTTATTCGGTCGATTTCGTTCGAAACTTCGATGAATTCCGTTTCGGGTGAATACGTTTCGGATCCCGTGGGATTTTTGTTGGCAATATCGGCGATATCTTGTGTCTGTTTGTTGTGCAACTCGTTTCCAGGCTACGCGCCGTCGATCATTTATTATTTTATCTTACCTGTTTAATGCTCCTATGTCTAATTTTCTTCGACCATTTTTTTTTTTTAAATATTGCAAATATTAAAATTTTTTTTATATAAATTCCTCAACCAACTGAATTTTCTTAAAACGGGATCCTTTTTCTAAAATATTCTAAAATTCAAACGATTTTAATTTTAACTTATATGATACGTTAACATTATCGTATTATTCATTATAATAATAAAATTTTTTATCGTTTTTTTTTTTGCAAAAAGGATGTACAGAATATTTAATAATTGATATTACCAATAATTAGTTCGATGATACCAGTTCTCCATAATCAATCAACACGCCCCTCACCAAGTTATTAATACTCGCAATTGATAAGTACTTTCCTGATAATATGAAATTAACACGTGCACGTCAATTTTCTCATGATTCATCCACTGATGTTCGTACATACACTAACGTAACGGATGAACAATTTATTGATCGAACGAAACATAGCTACACGAATTTCCCTTAGTCCTTTTATAATTTATATGATTATTATTATATTAATCATTGACCTAATGAATTTGTTAATCTTTATTCATAATTGCCAATGCTACGTTAAGTAATTAATTTTTCAGTTCATTAGTAGTTGATTATATAAATGTGTCGCTTCGAAAAGATCAGGACGAAGGAAGGCGCGAGCGTGGAAGGAATGGACGCTTAGAGTAGCCGGATTAGAGAGAAGGTTAAAAAGCAACCGGGTATCCTTGACACGACTCGACGACGATACTCGAAGCCTTTGTTTTACGATAAGTTGTGGAATTATCCTCCCATTTCGAGCAACCCTTAAGATCGAAACATGGCGACGCGGATGGTCTCGATTAATTCCGGAGGGCAGCCACCACCGCC